GGTGCAAGTTTAAAAGATATGTCTTGTTCAATCAAATTTGAATTAATAAAATAATATTCATCTTTAACTTCAGAAAGTGTTTTAGGTAGAATACAACATAAAAGTTTTCCTATTTTCTCTGGATGAGTAGCCCAATCAGGTTCGTGTGGATTGATTTGAAGCTTCTTTAGTTGCAAAGAGTATATGCTTGCCGAGTTTCTTAAAGTTGTGGTTAGTGTAATAGAAGAAAAGATGGCCGAAGAAGTAGCGCTGCAAAATTTATTGACTAATGCCTCAGGATTATGCTCCGTAGTCATAAGATCGAATTTAGGAAACTCTCCAATTATTTCACGAAATACATTAATCATGACATCGGTAGAATCATTAATTTTTCCAAAGTAGTATAAAATATTTTTTGATCTGCATTTCATTAGCACACTTTCTGCAGTTAGACCATTCGGATCACCGTTTGGATATTCATCATACAAGTTGGTAAAACGACGACCATGTGGTGGCGCATCGCCAATATGAATAAGAACACGGGTGGCATTGCTCCATGTCATCTGAGTTATCGCAGCATCAAGACCACCTAAGACATCTTCTGGCTTATCATTGTTAACTATAGTCTTCACTTTATTGGTTATATACGTTTGAAATTTCTCGAGAGAGTTAGTAAAATCAAAAATTTGTAAGCGATCACTACGATTATAGTGATCACGATAACCACAGAAACCAACCCAGAATTCGATATTTGAATTATTGCTGTTTACGTAACTAGCCACTTTTAATATATGCGCTTTCGCTGCTTCAATATAAGGAGACATAGACATTGTACAGTCCAGAACGAAACAAAGATCAAAGTTCATTGAATCTTCAATATTAATTATTGCTTTTGACACATCATTTTCTTTATTTTTTCGTAAATATGAAATTTTATCTTTTAATGTTGGTGTACAATTAATTTGGCCTGCTTCATCTTCGTAACGCCTAAGACGTTCTTCTAAGAGCTCCATATTGTTTACGCTACAATCGTTTTTTATAAACACTTTAGTATAATTCTTTTTATAAATTATAAGAGTTCTATTATCCGAAGTGTAGAGGGCTACATTGGGTAAATAAATATAATACTATTGGACCGAGTTTACTTATTTGCGCGAGTAACACAAACCAAAAAAGGAAATCGAATTTTGTAAATAAACTAAGTGCGTAAAGATAGAATTTTAGGCTATAATAATATATTGTTGCTTACTATATGTAAAATTTCATTCCCGGCATTTTTAACTAGTGCACCAAGGTCGATTTAAACACTAGTTTTTGAGTATTTCGCTTTTTTCTTCTTTTACACGTGTTCGGAATTCATCCGGAACAGTCAAATTTTGTGCACTCTGATTGGCCATTTCCTTATTAGAGGTTTGCATTACTTCCGGAACAGTCAAATTTTGTGCACTCCGATTGGCCATTTCCTTTTTAGAGGTTTGTATTACTCGCGCAAATAAGTGCGTCCCTATTGGACCTGCCTGCATAATTGTGCCACGACTAGGAACGGGACCATCAATCAATTACTACCGCATTTTCGCGAGTATATAGTAAAGTAGTGCAGTACGGTAACGCAAGTTAGTACGGACTTTCAAAAAAAATAATATTTTATTGTACTCAGCAGTGTTAAATATCTGGAATTTTTTTTTAGTTCTTTGAGAACATAAATTGATAATTTTATATGAACATTTTAATATTCTAACGATAAAAAAAAAAATAAAAAAAATAAAAAAAAGAGAGAAAGTATATATTTTCCATATATCATATAAGAACATAAATTATAAATTTTATGTTCTTAGTTGGTTCTCAAAAGAGAACATAATTTTTAAATACAATGTTCTCAAAGTTTTTTAAATATTCTTGAGAACACTGAGAACATTAGATATTACTCAGACGCATGACTGCATAGTTTATTGGGGTGTCACATCGACTACTTAATCAAAACTATGTTACATTTGTAATTTTACTATGGTCAGATTGTTATCAATAAAATTAATCGAATAAAATTTTACTTAATTATAAAGAAAAGCGCAAAATTCTAAAGAATTCGCATAAATATTGCACTTATTTTTCTGATTCTGTTGACTGAAAATTATTTATCAGAATCATTTCGAAGTAACTACGTTTCATTTTTCGTTAATGTTCTAATTAAGTTTCGACTTATATGTTTAATATAATTTTTTTGGCCTTAATTAATGAATTTTCAAATATTCTATATAGCGAATGCCAAAACCCACATATTAATAAAAGAATTAAAACGTAGCTTTATTCTTTGACTTTATATAAGCAAATGATGAAAATTTCAAGTTAATTCCACATCTTGGCGATAAGTTGAACCATTTTAAAGATCGAGTTTAATGCTAAAGCTGCTCGATACGATAGTATCAAAGCAGCTTTTGTCTCGAATCGGCACATGACCAGGCATATGTCATGCCCGATTACAGTCACATGAGTAGATAATCAGTGTTTCTAGAATGAGGTAATTATTAGTAATGAATTTGAGTAAGAGAAATGAATTAATAGTTACGATCAGTAGATCGAATCAGTATTTCTAGAATGAGGTAATTATTAGTAATGAATTAGAGTAAGAAAAATGAAGTAATAGTTACGATCAGTAAATTGAATCAGTATTATATTAGTAATGATGACGTGTATGAGTTAAGTTAATTATAATATTTAAGTACGTTAATGGTTAGAAAAAGAAATAACTATTTCTTCTGCGAACCCGACACTTAGTCTGGTTTTGTCGAGCAAACTTCTAGTAAAAAACTTATGGTAAAAACTTAAAAATAACAATGAGCGGAAATAAGGATAAACAAGTTTCAAGCGACGATGCTAATAATGCACACGAAGAACTTGCGTCTCCAGTTAGTAGTGATTGTGAAATTGTGCAAAAAGGCCAAGCGAATTTTGAAGCAAATTTTGCTCGTATGTCCGTCGAGGTGGGTGCTAAAGTTCTGCCACTTTCACGTGACGATCTACATCGATTAGCCAATAATTAATCATAATTTGGTGTAACGTAACACGATCGCGAAGATCCAAAACAAACGTCAATTTTGTCAAAAATCGTTTATTTCTCAGAAATTCACATAAGAAATCGCCTTTCGTGCACTAACAAAAATAATTCCTTGAGTAATTTTACTATGCTACCCTTATTCTCTAACATAAGTTTAAACGCTAACCCTAACATAAACGAACTTAAAAGTTTTTTTCGGTGGTCACGTGAGCGTGAAATTTTGTTGGCGCACCTGGGGAAGATCTAAAGTTCTTGAAACAGGTTTGAAACAGGATTTGGTTAGTAAGAGTAAAAAGAGGGAAGATACAATAAGTGAGCTAACGCCAGAAAAGGGAAAGTATTGACCGGTGGTGATACAACAGAGCCCCTGTTGGGCGGTTTTGGTCTGTCTTTTGAACCAGAGAATGGTTTTTCGGGTAGTGCATGTAATGTAAGGCCGGATGAGAAAAGGTTAAGCTCTGGCATACTTGGTGGTGATCAGGCAGTGCAAGCTCCTTGGTCAACTAATAAGGCTACAACGTTTTGTGATTTGGACAAAAGTATTTGGAAAAAATATGATATTTTAAAGGCAAGAAACCAATGGGAGTATAGTGAATGGTGCAAGGCAAGATTGTTGTTGGATAAGGCATTGTTGTCAGGGGATATAGAGTATGTATATTTGGCAAGACAAGTAGTGCTTGAAAGGGTATATGTGGTTAGAGTGGCAAATAAGGATGGTTGGTCTGTTGTATTTAAGATAGCATCTAGTGACAATGATCCAATGTCAGATTTATTTGGTGAAAGACAGGAGAAGGCAAGATTGGCTGCACAACACTTTTTGAGATATAAAAGACCAAAAGTGGCTCAGGAGTATAGTTTTAGGAGAAGTGAACTGCATGATAAGGTGCAGATGTAGTTGCCAGTTTTGCAGAATTCTCAACCCTTGGTATCAACTTTGTTCCAGTCACAGCTGTATATGCAACCAGTTTGGCAACAGCCACCAATTCACAGGTTATATTCTGTCACTCTGGGAATAGAAGGCTAACAAAATGAAACTAGTGTACAAGGTATTTTTGGTTCAGCATTTTCAGAATATCATATGCCTCAAGGTACTTTTTCTCAAAATGTATTATATAATCTACAACTGCAACAAGGATATAGAAGGTCACATGTAACTGGGAATACCAGTAATAAGCCAGGTTTGAAAGAAATAGTTTGTTTTCTTTGTATAGGCAAAATACATATATCAATAATATAGTTTAAGAAAATATTTGAATATGTTCTTTCATAAAAAAGATATAAAAGAAAAGAGAATATTTGGTAATCAGTGATGGAAAAATCAGAATAAAGTGTGGTAAGCATAAATCAAGTAGTGACAAAAGATTATATTTGGATTCAATAATATGTTATTGGAGAAATATAATAAAGTTAAAACAGTAGTAATGGGATAGTTAGAGAGAAAAATTTTTCTTTTTTCTAAAAGAAGTGATGAAGTTAATAGAGCAGCTAGTTCTGAGATTAAGAAAGATTTAACAGAGAAGAGTACATGAATAGAACAAGAATTAAGTTGCTTGCACAAGATGCAGGTGCAATAGAATATGTAAGAAAAGAAATGTTAAAACCAGAGTTCTTGTTGAAAGTAAATCTAATCTTTGTAGTATTCAAAAAAAGAAAGAGGAAGTTTAGGTTAATGATTGATCTCAGGAGGTTGAATTCGATGCTGTCAAAAAAATCTTTCAAATTTGAAAGCATTAGCACTGGTCAAAATAAAACAAATTAAGCAAATATCAGGTTCTAATGCAGTACTGATTAATGGTTTTAATCATGTTGTTTTCAGGTTATATTAGAACTAACAGAGCTATGTCAACTATCAGAAACCTATAGTTAACTAATAGTTCTGTTAGTTCTAATATAACCCTAGAAATAATATGATTGGAATCATTAATCAGTGCTATATCAAGGCCTAATATTTGCTTAATTGGTTTTATTTTTACTAGTGTGGTTTACTTCTATAAACAGTAGAAAGAGACTGATAGGTAATAATCTTTGATTTGAAGAAAAGTTATCATTATGTAATAATAGATAATATAGAATAGTAATTTCTGAGTTTTGTCTTTGACAAAAAATAGTTTTTTTACAAAGTTTTTCTCTTTGGTTTAATCAATCTTCATAGATCTTTACAAAAATAATGAAAGCAATTGTTAGAAGTTGAAAAGCTTGTAAAATTTTTGCAACAATTATTTGAACAATATTTAGATAGCATAACTTTTAAAAGAAATATTATTAAGGTAGTAAGAAGAAGTAATAGAAGTGGATCTGGAAGGTTGTGGCTAGGTATATGCAGAAAAAAAAAGCATTTGGAAATCTACTTAAAAACCCAAGTATTGCAGGCTAATTATAAATTTAGAAGAAAAGTTGATGATTATACTAAAAGAAAAAATTGTTGTAACAACAAATTAGCTAAAAAATTACTAAAAAATCTAGTAATCTCAGTATAGGAGTTGGCATCAATTGTAGAAAAATGTAGAGTTTAGCAAGGGTTTTTGCTTTAGTGCAAGTGAAGAGTCTAGAATTCTACAAGTTGATTGATATAAAAAACTGATTGTAAAATCAATATGATGAAATAATAAAATTGTCAGATCTTCTATAGTATAGGTAGGCAAATATTGTTGGTGCTAAACTATAGTACAGGTAGGCAAACTCTGCGAGTTATCACATAACTTTAATGAATTCAGAGAACCAAATTGCTAATATGGGCTGGCTTTAACCAATTTTAAAATTCTAAACCCAATTTTAAAATTTTAAACATATATATTTGGCCCCAAATAGGATCATTTATAGTATGGGTAGAACAATTATCATATTTTTATTAACTTATATTAAATATATACTTTTTTTATATATATAAAATACCTACTTTTTTATTTATATATATCAAATACATACTTTTTTATTTACATATATATATTAATTATTTAAAAAATTTATAGAATGTTAATTTAAATTTTTTTAACATTAATTTTATTAATTTAATTTTTTTATTTTTAAAACTATACTACTATTTCGCTAATATTATATATATTATTATTAATTTTTTTTCTTTCATTTTTATTTATTTTTCTTTTCACTTTTATTTTTTGTTTTACTTTTATTTTTTTCTTTTATCTTTATTTTTTGTTTCATTTTATTTTTTCTTTCACCTTTATTTTTTTCTTTTACTTTTATTTTTGCTTCTTTCGTTTGGACATCGATTTTTGTAGAAATAGCTAATAGAAACATACAATTTTGGAAATTGCTATCTTAACAGAATTAGGGATGAGTGCAATGCATTTTAAAGAGATGAGAAACACTAGTAAAACATATTATGTTAAAGTGTAGAGTTGAAAAGAATGAATATAAAATATTCAAAAAAAACTAGCAAAGGCAGAAACTATAGTAGAATATATAATAGAATTGGAGTTGAAAAGGTTGAATATAATAATTATAAATGAAAAAAAACCTCAGCAGAAATAGAAACCCTAGTGGAACATATAATGTTGGAAATTGCTGCCTTAATGGAAATGAAGTTGAAAAGACAAATATAAAACATTCTAAAAAAAATTACAGAGGTGGAAGAAGTTATTAGAAAATATAATGCTGTAGTTGAAATATGATATTCTAAAAAAAACTAGCAGAGGTGAAAAACTCTAGTGGAACACAAAAGAATGAATATAAAAATTCTAAAAAAAATCACTGGCAAAGATAGAAAACCCTAGTGGAATATATAATATTAGAAATTGCTACCTTAATAAAATTGGAGTTGAAAAGAATGAATATAAGGTATTTTAAAAAAAAAACTGCTAAAGTGAAAATGCTATTGGAACATATAATGGAATTGAAGTTAAAAAGAACGAATATAAGAAATTCTAAAAAAAACCCCAGCAGAGATAGAAAACCCTATGGAAAATATAATGTTAAAAATTGCTACCTTAATGGAATTGGAGTTGAAAAAGATGAATATAAAGCATTTTAAAAAAAAACTGCAGAGGTGGGAAATGCTAGTGGAATATATAATGTAATTGGAGTTAAAAAGGATGAACATAAGGTATTCTAAAAAAAACTGCAAAGGTGAGTTACACTATTGGAACATATAATAGAATTGGATTTAAAAAGAATGAACATTAGAATTCTGAAAAACCCCCAGCAGAGATAGAAAACCTAATGGAATATATAATGTTAGAAATTGCTGCCTTAATGGAATTGGAGTTGAAAAAGACAAACATAAGGCATTCTAAAAAAAACTGCAGAGATGAGAAGAACTAATAAAACATATAATGGAATTGAAGTTGAAAAGAATATACATAAGAATTCTAAAAAAAAAACCCCAGCAGAGATAAAAAACCCTATAGAATATATAATATTAAAAATTGCTGTCTTAATATAATTGGAGTTGAAAAAGACAAACATAAGGCATTCTAAAAAAAACTGCAAAGGTGGGAAACATCAGTAGAACATATAATAGAATTGGAGTTGAAAAAGATGAACATAAGGCATTCTAAAAAAAACTGCAGAGGTGGAAAATACTATTGAAACACATAATGAATTAGAATTGAAAAGGATGAACATAAGGTATTCTTTTCAACTTCAATTCCATTATATGTTTTATTAGTTCTTCTCATCTCTGCAGTTTTTTTTAGAATGCCTTATGTTTGTCTTTTTCAACTCCAATTCCATTAAGGCAGCAATTTCTAACATTATATATTCCATTAGGTTTTCTATCTCTGCTGGGGGTTTTTCAGAATTCTAATGTTCATTCTTTTTAAATCCAATTCTATTATATGTTCCAATAGTGTAACTCACCTTTGCAGTTTTTTTTAGAATACCTTATGTTCATCCTTTTTAACTCCAATTACATTATATATTCCACTAGCATTTCCCACCTCTGCAGTTTTTTTTTAAAATGCTTTATATTCATCTTTTTCAACTCCAATTCCATTAAGGTAGCAATTTTTAACATTATATTTTCCATAGGGTTTTCTATCTCTGCTGGGGTTTTTTTTAGAATTTCTTATATTCGTTCTTTTTAACTTCAATTCCATTATATGTTCCAATAGCATTTTCACTTTAGCAGTTTTTTTTTTAAAATACCTTATATTCATTCTTTTCAACTCCAATTTTATTAAGGTAGCAATTTCTAATATTATATATTCCACTAGGGTTTTCTATCTTTGCCAGTGATTTTTTTTAGAATTTTTATATTCATTCTTTTGTGTTCCACTAGAGTTTTTCACCTCTGCTAGTTTTTTTTAGAATATCATATTTCAACTACAGCATTATATTTTCTAATAACTTCTTCCACCTCTGTAATTTTTTTTAGAATGTTTTATATTTGTCTTTTCAACTTCATTTCCATTAAGGCAGCAATTTCCAACATTATATGTTCCACTAGGGTTTCTATTTCTGCTGAGGTTTTTTTTCATTTATAATTATTATATTCAACCTTTTCAACTCCAATTCTATTATATATTCTACTATAGTTTCTGCCTTTGCTAGTTTTTTTTGAATATTTTATATTCATTCTTTTCAACTCTACACTTTAACATAATATGTTTTACTAGTGTTTCTCATCTCTTTAAAATGCATTGCACTCATCCCTAATTCTGTTAAGATAGCAATTTCCAAAATTGTATGTTTCTATTAGCTATTTCTACAAAAATCGATGTCCAAACGAAAGAAGCAAAAATAAAAGTAAAAGAAAAAAATAAAGGTGAAAGAAAAAATAAAATGAAACAAAAAATAAAGATAAAAGAAAAAAATAAAAGTAAAACAAAAAATAAAAGTGAAAAGAAAAATAAATAAAAATGAAAGAAAAAAAATTAATAATAATATATATAATATTAGCGAAATAGTAGTATAGTTTTAAAAATAAAAAAATTAAATTAATAAAATTAATGTTAAAAAAATTTAAATTAACATTCTATAAATTTTTTAAATAATTAATATATATATGTAAATAAAAAAGTATGTATTTGATATATATAAATAAAAAAGTAGGTATTTTATATATATAAAAAAAGTATATATTTAATATAAGTTAATAAAAATATGATAATTGTTCTACCCATACTATAAATGATCCTATTTGGGGCCAAATATATATGTTTAAAATTTTAAAATTGGGTTTAGAATTTTAAAATTGGTTAAAGCCAGCCCATATTAGCAATTTGGTTCTCTGAATTCATTAAAGTTATGTGATAACTCGCAGAGTTTGCCTACCTGTACTATAGTTTAGCACCAACAATATTTGCCTACCTATACTATAGAAGATCTGACAATTTTATTATTTCATCATATTGATTTTACAATCAGTTTTTTATATCAATCAACTTGTAGAATTCTAGACTCTTCACTTGCACTAAAGCAAAAACCCTTGCTAAACTCTACATTTTTCTACAATTGATGCCAACTCCTATACTGAGATTACTAGATTTTTTAGTAATTTTTTAGCTAATTTGTTGTTACAACAATTTTTTCTTTTAGTATAATCATCAACTTTTCTTCTAAATTTATAATTAGCCTGCAATACTTGGGTTTTTAAGTAGATTTCCAAATGCTTTTTTTTTCTGCATATACCTAGCCACAACCTTCCAGATCCACTTCTATTACTTCTTCTTACTACCTTAATAATATTTCTTTTAAAAGTTATGCTATCTAAATATTGTTCAAATAATTGTTGCAAAAATTTTACAAGCTTTTCAACTTCTAACAATTGCTTTCATTATTTTTGTAAAGATCTATGAAGATTGATTAAACCAAAGAGAAAAACTTTGTAAAAAAACTATTTTTTGTCAAAGACAAAACTCAGAAATTACTATTCTATATTATCTATTATTACATAATGATAACTTTTCTTCAAATCAAAGATTATTACCTATCAGTCTCTTTCTACTGTTTATAGAAGTAAACCACACTAGTAAAAATAAAACCAATTAAGCAAATATTAGGCCTTGATATAGCACTGATTAATGATTCCAATCATATTATTTCTAGGGTTATATTAGAACTAACAGAACTATTAGTTAACTATAGGTTTCTGATAGTTGACATAGCTCTGTTAGTTCTAATATAACCTGAAAACAACATGATTAAAACCATTAATCAGTACTGCATTAGAACCTGATATTTGCTTAATTTGTTTTATTTTGACCAGTGCTAATGCTTTCAAATTTGAAAGATTTTTTTGACAGCATCGAATTCAACCTCCTGAGATCAATCATTAACCTAAACTTCCTCTTTCTTTTTTTGAATACTACAAAGATTAGATTTACTTTCAACAAGAACTCTGGTTTTAACATTTCTTTTCTTACATATTCTATTGCACCTGCATCTTGTGCAAGCAACTTAATTCTTGTTCTATTCATGTACTCTTCTCTGTTAAATCTTTCTTAATCTCAGAACTAGCTGCTCTATTAACTTCATCACTTCTTTTAGAAAAAAGAAAAATTTTTCTCTCTAACTATCCCATTACTACTGTTTTAACTTTATTATATTTCTCCAATAACATATTATTGAATCCAAATATAATCTTTTGTCACTACTTGATTTATGCTTACCACACTTTATTCTGATTTTTCCATCACTGATTACCAAATATTCTCTTTTCTTTTATATCTTTTTTATGAAAGAACATATTCAAATATTTTCTTAAACTATATTATTGATATATGTATTTTGCCTATACAAAGAAAACAAACTATTTCTTTCAAACCTGGCTTATTACTGGTATTCCCAGTTACATGTGACCTTCTATATCCTTGTTGCAGTTGTAGATTATATAATACATTTTGAGAAAAAGTACCTTGAGGCATATGATATTCTGAAAATGCTGAACCAAAAATACCTTGTACACTAGTTTCATTTTGTTAGCCTTCTATTCCCAGAGTGACAGAATATAACCTGTGAATTGGTGGCTGTTGCCAAACTGGTTGCATATACAGCTGTGACTGGAACAAAGTTGATACCAAGGGTTGAGAATTCTGCAAAACTGGCAACTACATCTGCACCTTATCATGCAGTTCACTTCTCCTAAAACTATACTCCTGAGCCACTTTTGGTCTTTTATATCTCAAAAAGTGTTGTGCAGCCAATCTTGCCTTCTCCTGTCTTTCACCAAATAAATCTGACATTGGATCATTGTCACTAGATGCTATCTTAAATACAACAGACCAACCATCCTTATTTGCCACTCTAACCACATATACCCTTTCAAGCACTACTTGTCTTGCCAAATATACATACTCTATATCCCCTGACAACAATGCCTTATCCAACAACAATCTTGCCTTGCACCATTCACTATACTCCCATTGGTTTCTTGCCTTTAAAATATCATATTTTTTCCAAATACTTTTGTCCAAATCACAAAACGTTGTAGCCTTATTAGTTGACCAAGGAGCTTGCACTGCCTGATCACCACCAAGTATGCCAGAGCTTAACCTTTTCTCATCCGGCCTTACATTACATGCACTACCCGAAAAACCATTCTCTGGTTCAAAAGACAGACCAAAACCGCCCAACAGGGGCTCTGTTGTATCACCACCGGTCAATACTTTCCCTTTTCTGGCGTTAGCTCACTTATTGTATCTTCCCTCTTTTTACTCTTACTAACCAAATCCTGTTTCAAACCTGTTTCAAGAACTTTAGATCTTCCCCAGGTGCGCCAACAAAATTTCACGCTCACGTGACCACCGAAAAAAACTTTTAAGTTCGTTTATGTTAGGGTTAGCGTTTAAACTTATGTTAGAGAATAAGGGTAGCATAGTAAAATTACTCAAGGAATTATTTTTGTTAGTGCACGAAAGGCGATTTCTTATGTGAATTTCTGAGAAATAAACGATTTTTGACAAAATTGACGTTTGTTTTGGATCTTCGCGATCGTGTTACGTTACACCAAATTATGATTAATTATTGGCTAATCGATGTAGATCGTCACGTGAAAGTGGCAGAACTTTAGCACCCACCTCGACGGACATACGAGCAAAATTTGCTTCAAAATTCGCTTGGCCTTTTTGCACAATTTCACAATCACTACTAACTGGAGACGCAAGTTCTTCGTGTGCATTATTAGCATCGTCGCTTGAAACTTGTTTATCCTTATTTCCGCTCATTGTTATTTTTAAGTTTTTACCATAAGTTTTTTACTAGAAGTTTGCTCGACAAAACCAGACTAAGTGTCGGGTTCGCAGAAGAAATAGTTATTTCTTTTTCTAACCATTAACGTACTTAAATATTATAATTAACTTAACTCATACACGTCATCATTACTAATATAATACTGATTCAATTTACTGATCGTAACTATTACTTCATTTTTCTTACTCTAATTCATTACTAATAATTACCTCATTCTAGAAATACTGATTCGATCTACTGATCGTAACTATTAATTCATTTCTCTTACTCAAATTCATTACTAATAATTACCTCATTCTAGAAACACTGATTATCTACTCATGTGACTGTAATCGGGCATGACATATGCCTGGTCATGTGCCGATTCGAGACAAAAGCTGCTTTGATACTATCGTATCGAGCAGCTTTAGCATTAAACTCGATCTTTAAAATGGTTCAACTTATCGCCAAGATGTGGAATTAACTTGAAATTTTCATCATTTGCTTATATAAAGTCAAAGAATAAAGCTACGTTTTAATTCTTTTATTAATATGTGGGTTTTGGCATTCGCTATATAGAATATTTGAAAATTCATTAATTAAGGCCAAAAAAATTATATTAAACATATAAGTCGAAACTTAATTAGAACATTAACGAAAAATGAAACGTAGTTACTTCGAAATGATTCTGATAAATAATTTTCAGTCAACAGAATCAGAAAAATAAGTGCAATATTTATGCGAATTCTTTAGAATTTTGCGCTTTTCTTTATAATTAAGTAAAATTTTATTCGATTAATTTTATTGATAACAATCTGACCATAGTAAAATTACAAATGTAACATAGTTTTGATTAAGTAGTCGATGTGACACCCCAATAAACTATGCAGTCATGCGTCTGAGTAATATCTAATGTTCTCAGTGTTCTCAAGAATATTTAAAAAACTTTGAGAACATTGTATTTAAAAATTATGTTCTCTTTTGAGAACCAACTAAGAACATAAAATTTATAATTTATGTTCTTATATGATATATGGAAAATATATACTTTCTCTCTTTTTTTTATTTTTTTTATTTTTTTTTTTATCGTTAGAATATTAAAATGTTCATATAAAATTATCAATTTATGTTCTCAAAGAACTAAAAAAAAATTCCAGATATTTAACACTGCTGAGTACAATAAAATATTATTTTTTTTGAAAGTCCGTACTAACTTGCGTTACCGTACTGCACTACTTTACTATATACTCGCGAAAATGCGGTAGTAATTGATTGATGGTCCCGTTCCTAGTCGTGGCACAATTATGCAGGCAGGTCCAATAGGGACGCACTTATTTGCGCGAGTAATACAAACCTCTAAAAAGGAAATGGCCAATCGGAGTGCACAAAATTTGACTGTTCCGGAAGTAATGCAAACCTCTAATAAGGAAATGGCCAATCAGAGTGCACAAAATTTGACTGTTCCGGATGAATTCCGAACACGTGTAAAAGAAGAAAAAAGCGAAATACTCAAAAACTAGTGTTTAAATCGACCTTGGTGCACTAGTTAAAAATGCCGGGAATGAAATTTTACATATAGTAAGCAACAATATATTATTATAGCCTAAAATTCTATCTTTACGCACTTAGTTTATTTACAAAATTCGATTTCCTTTTTTGGTTTGTGTTACTCGCGCAAATAAGTAAACTCGGTCCAATAGTATTATATTTATTTACCCAATGTAGCCCTCTACACTTCGGATAATAGAACTCTTATAATTTATAAAAAGAATTATACTAAAGTGTTTATAAAAAACGATTGTAGCGTAAACAATATGGAGCTCTTAGAAGAACGTCTTAGGCGTTACGAAGATGAAGCAGGCCAAATTAATTGTACACCAACATTAAAAGATAAAATTTCATATTTACGAAAAAATAAAGAAAATGATGTGTCAAAAGCAATAATTAATATTGAAGATTCAATGAACTTTGATCTTTGTTTCGTTCTGGACTGTACAATGTCTATGTCTCCTTATATTGAAGCAGCGAAAGCGCATATATTAAAAGTGGCTAGTTACGTAAACAGCAATAATTCAAATATCGAATTCTGGGTTGGTTTCTGTGGTTATCGTGATCACTATAATCGTAGTGATCGCTTACAAATTTTTGATTTTACTAACTCTCTCGAGAAATTTCAAACGTATATAACCAATAAAGTGAAGACTATAGTTAACAATGATAAGCCAGAAGATGTCTTAGGTGGTCTTGATGCTGCGATAACTCAGATGACATGGAGCAATGCCACCCGTGTTCTTATTCATATTGGCGATGCGCCACCACATGGTCGTCGTTTTACCAACTTGTATGATGAATATCCAAACGGTGATCCGAATGGTCTAACTGCAGAAAGTGTGCTAATGAAATGCAGATCAAAAAATATTTTATACTACTTTGGAAAAATTAATGATTCTACCGATGTCATGATTAATGTATTTCGTGAAATAATTGGAGAGTTTCCTAAATTCGATCTTATGACTACGGAGCATAATCCTGAGGCATTAGTCAATAAATTTTGCAGCGCTACTTCTTCGGCCATCTTTTCTTCTATTACACTAACCACAACTTTAAGAAACTCGGCAAGCATATACTCTTTGCAACTAAAGAAGCTTCAAATCAATCCACACGAACCTGATTGGGCTACTCATCCAGAGAAAATAGGAAAACTTTTATGTTGTATTCTACCTAAAACACTTTCTGAAGTTAAAGATGAATATTATTTTATTAATTCAAATTTGATTGAACAAGACATATCTTTTAAACTTGCACC